ATCAGCAATCAAGCCTCGGCTTTAGACGGTCTTCTTGATACAAATTAAGTTCATCCAGTAGATTTTTGGTAAGTTCTTTGAGTCTACCTTTGTCAGTTGGTAGAACCTTTTCCTGTTGCTCCATATCTAATGATTTCACCAAATTTATTGATTGGCAATTACCTATTTCCTCGCCTTTTTTAATTTTAATAGTGTGTTTAGCGGTATTCATTATTCTGACAGGAATAAGACCATTTTTGTTCGCTTCTACCAGGCATTTTCCAATGACCGCGTTCTGTACATTTGTCGTTGAGGTTGGCTCCATCAAATAGAACTGGTGGCCCCTTGGATCGAGATTCAACTTACCCCATACGATGTTTTCAGATGATTGAGGTAGTCACAATCGACTGTCACTCGAATGCATTTTTCGTCGATATCCCCCATTATCACTTCTGTATTTCTCCATCTAAAAATGCGTTTTTCTAAGTCAATTTTGAACCCATATTTTGTCAGAAAGTCGACACCTATTATGCATTCGTCGATGATATCCGCGACTAAGAATGAACCTTCGAATAACAAGTCGCCTAGCTGAACAGTACGGAGAATCTTTCCATAGACTGGTGCTGTTCCTCCGGTAGCTGTTCGAAGGATGTATTTGTTAGAAGTCTCTTTCTTCAGATTGGGTACCAAATCAGATCTTAAAATCGATTTTGTTGCTCCGGTGTCGACTGTAATTACACATTCTCGTTGATCAACTTTTCCGTTCAGCCATAGGTCGTTTCGATTTCGATGTAGTCTGGAAACGTTAATTACGGTACTGGGGGCGTCAATTCTACTAGCCAACCTCAGCCCGAAAAGTTGGCTTTTATTAGTTTTCCCGCCCCTTCGTTAGAAGGGGCCGATCGTGATACAGGATCATCTTCTCTTCTTTTGCGCCATCTTGTCGCGCAATTTCGGCAGTAGTTATCTTTTAGGCGGTGTTTACAATCACGACGTAGATGGCCTTTTTCACTACAAATCCAGCATTGAGGTACACCATGCTGTTGAGGTTCGCGTTTCACAACCACCTTCTGGCAAGGGCATTCTTCATGTACGTCACTTTTTGATGCTTGCTTTGCCGATTCAAAAGTGAGACTGTGCGCAACGGCATCCTTGAGTTTTCGTTTATCTGACAAGAGAAGGGATTGCTTGAGTTCCGAATCACGAAAGGCTTTGATAAACGTATCCAGGGCAGTTTCGTCTCTATGCTCGGGGTCTGATGTCGGATACGACAGCAATGTCAACCGTTCGATATCTTGTGCCAGCTGCTGAATGGATTCACCAGATCATTGCGTTCTGTTTCTAAGCTGAGACCGATAAATCTGTTTCATGTGTTCTTCACCATAACGTAAATCCAACACGCTAACCAGAACTTCATAGTCGAAGTGGTTCTCCGGCGGAATCGTCTGAAGAACCTCTGCTGCTGAACCTCGCAGAGCCAGTATCAGTGCTGTTGCTCGTTCTTTTCCGTTCCAACAGTTACTAGTTGCCGCTGCTTCGAACTGGGTTTTATAAATGTTCCAGGACATCTCTCCGTCAAATGCTGGTACCTTCAAAGTTCTTCCGGATGCGTGATCTAACGGCATGGCCATTTTTTTGGATTGCTCCAATTCTCGCTTCAATTTGTCTATCTTGTGATCTACCTCAACGGTCTGACGATCAAGTTTCTGCTCGATCATTTCTATTCTTGTTGACTGTTCTTCAATCTGTTCTGCCACTTCCAATTTTACGTGTTTTAGCTGGTCCTTGATCTGTTTTAACTCCTCTGTCTGTCGTTCGAACTGTTCCTTGATCTGTTGTTTTAACTCTTCTGCCTGTCGTTCGGACTGTTGTTCGGACTGTTCTTTGATCTGTTGTTTTATTTCAGTTGACATACTAAGCAGAAGTTCCATCATTTTAGCGGTTGTAAACGTGCCTGTGCTAATTTCATTGTCTTCGTCAGCACCATCAAACTTGAATTCGTCTGGGTTCTTACCTTCGTCAATGAGAGCTTCTCTCAGACGTGCTACTAGTACTTCTTTGTTGCCACTTGTGACAAGGCTTCGTTTCTGTAGTTCTTCTCGTAGCTGAACTACGTTCAAACCACACATCGTGTTCTTTTTCTATGAGTAGTAATTCGCTGGTCGAAGATCCCACTTCTGACACCAATGTTATAATACTCGCTGTCGTAACCGATTTACGATGCGACGGGTTCAAATCTTAGATTGAATAAAATACTCCAAACAGTTATTAGTTATTAAACTTTATTTACAGAAGAAATCAACTAATCGTTTATTTCCAGCAAATTCAAACTAACGCAACAATTAACTTTTAAATTGTTCAAAATCTATCGCTATGACAACGTCAACAAACAAATCAAATATCGCTTTAAATAATTCACCGAATCGCTATTCACAAAATCACGAATTTCACTAATCACGGATTTCACTAATCGCTAATTTTCTTGCGACGTGCGCTTATATACTCTTCGCAAGCGTCGTTTCTAGATTCTTCTAGATGGTCCGATTCTAGCATACTCTAGAATGCTCCAGTCACTAGAACATTCTAGAATACGCTAGAATCTAATGCGTTCGGTAGCACGGTTATAACATTATTCATATGGCGCAAACTTCTGCTTATTATCGAGTTAAAGTGTTTAAATAGAATTAACATTTAATTGTAAATCAACTTTTGAATAAAAATTAATACCACAAATAATGTTATTTTGAAGTTCATAACCCTTGCTGCATTGTGCTACCATCCTGGTCCTCCTCGATGTTGCCTCTTTGTTGTAAGTCATAGAATTATAAAGATCGTTCTTGTTTGTTATTTCGTTTTGGATTATTTGTGGAACAAGTTTTTGGCCCTGCGATTTAATTAAACATACAAGTTAAGATGAAAAAATAATATGCCATGCAAATATTTTTGTGTGTGATTCAAAAATTTATAATATATGCGTTAATATTTTATTAAATGTTAAACTTTTACTTTACGTATAGAGTGAGGAAGTATGTATATGTGCTTATGAAGTAGATTCAATAAATCAAATATCAATCATATATCTTTTAACCAAAATTAACGCAAAAGAAATATTTTGAATAACAGTCTGGCTTGGAGACAAACAACAACAAACACTGCGAACATTTTTTACTTTACGTTTAGAGTGAGGAAGTTTGTTATGTGTATATGAAGTAGAATCAATCAATCAAATGTCAATCAAATATCTTTTATTAACCAGAATTAACATACAAAAAATTTTGAAAAACGTTTTGGCTTTGAGACCAAGCCAGTTCACTTAAATGAACTTTACAGGCCACCAAATGAAAATTAATACACATTTATATACATACATGAATAACAAGAAAATAGATCAAGGATATATATATATATAGCTCACTAACATATTTCAATACATATAAACATAAAACTTTAATAATATATGATCAATAGAATGGTAACAAATGAGTCCTAATTATATTACCATATAAGGTGACCTGAAAGATTATAATAGATACCGACCAATAAAACTAAATCATGATATAAGTTATATATTTTTTGACCGTTTGAGTGAAGAGCAGAACAAATTTAGGAAATGACAAAAAAAATCAAAATAACTCTCATTTAAAAATAATAATGGAAGATGGATAAATTAGTTGGCAAACAAAGGTTAAAAAAAGTCAATTACACTCTTTCAAAGTTCGGATGATTCAACAAAGCCCACAAACATCGTAAATGAATAAGTGCTAAACGACGCATCACACACGAAGCATGTGATAGGCGGGGATCTTTTTGTCCCATTCGAACCCGGTTACTGCGAAACAGTACCAGGCGACCTTAACCATTAGACCATCACGCCGCCTTTTGTTTTATTGGTTTTTTAAAAACGTTATTATTATTATTATTACGAATCTCTCTTCAACAATTCTTAGAGACATCAACAACAAAAACACAGTGCATGTAAAATAAATGCACGTGAAACAACGCATCACACACATTACATGTGATAAACGGGGCTCTTTTTGCTGTACCATCGCGCCGCCCAACTCGATCTGGCAAAAAAAGTTGTGGTGACACTAGAAAATATGGAAATAATAAAAACTTGTTAATGCATTAAAGACTCTTTATAAAGATTTTGAAAGAGCATTCAAAAACTTATGCTGACAAATTGATCCATTTTTATTAATACCATTCAGGTCCATGGCATCATGAGAAAAAGTAAAAAAAATTATTGAAGCTTTTTGGCATTTTATTCCTTGAATACATTAGCTAAATCAAAATGAAATTAACAAGTTTAGTTTGTTGATTTTTTGTTGTTTATAACGACAATAATAATCATTACATCATTTTCATTTTTAGAATACATGAAATTGAACAATTGCATAATTAAATTATTAAAAAAATATATATATATCATAAATTATCAATAATTTTTAATTAAGTACTTACTATGCTATCAAAATGCTTCATGTATTGTAATTTGATGCAATTTAAATTACAAGTAACAGCTCTGAACCCATCCAGCGTATTTAGAAACAAATATATGATTAATTCTTTCCGTTTTGCTTTTTTCCAAAGTTTGTGCTTCTCCATTTTTTGTTTAATTTCATCGTTGTTCTGCAAATTTGAATTTATCTTAAAAAATTATAGAACAAACTTTTAAATTATCCATCATTGTTGTAATTGTTTACCATAAAATGAAAAGCATCTCTGCATTTTGCTTCAGCGGTAAAAGGGCAAAAACTTTGAAAATCTTCACAAGCTATTTCCAAAATGTCCATTTTTTTTAATTTGTTCAAATGATTGTTGCAATGACTAACATAGTATATGAATGGATATTCCATGTAACAATTAGCAACTTTATACACTTAAAAAACATAATTAATTTTTATTGTTTTGTCTTGTTTTGATTCAAAAAATTACCAATTATATTGTGCAAAAATTTTTGCTCAATTTTTCCAAATATTTTAACAGTGCAGTAGTATGCGCTAGAGTCAATTGCCTGAGCACTAGTTATTTTCATAGATCCGTTACCGAATAGAACCATATCGTTCTTTAGAGCACTTCGTCCTAGATGGTCAATCCAATGAAATTTAGCGTTCATGTATTTGATACTCCAAGATTTCCAACAAGGAACTATAACACTTTCTGTTTCACGAACCATGATTTCTGTTTAAAAAAAAACATTTTTAAACTAACTAAATACAATTATTGAAAAAATATATAAAATATAACCATTTTCCATTTTTTCTTTTTTTGTAAGCAAAGCCAATTTTAAAATCAATGTGAAAAAATAAGCTGAATTAATAAATTTGAACATTGTATAACAAAAACAATTTCATCACACTTTCTGCGTCATTATGATGTGTTCATTATATTAACTATTCTTT